GAACTTGATAAGGCATTGAAATACACTTAAAAGAAATGAATTAGGATTTGGTTTAGGATTTGGTTTGGTTTAGGATTATTAATTAGAATTATAGTTTTTTGCCAAGCACACAAAATAGGATTACATTTATAATAAAATTTCCAGTCTTAATAGCCACACAATCCACACAAATAAAAATAAAATAAGATACACCAAAATACAAACAAGCCCATTTCTGGATAAAATATGCCCCTTGTATAATAAATAAATATATATACATATTAATATATACAATTTAGATTTATATATTTCTCTTAACCTATGAACTGAGGATATAGCAATTCTATCAAACTCAATGTTGAAAACTCAACAAGACAGTTTAGGACTCTATTTTTACCACAAATCTATTTGGAAAAAGACTTGTGATAGCCTAAAGGTTGACATATATTCATTAGTAGTTTTTTTTTAACTAAACAGTTTTTATTCCTTTTCTAAGGAAGGGGGGTGGCATGGATGGCCTCTTGAACTTTTCTCCTTTGGCTTGGGAAAAACAGAACACTTCCCGTTCCCAAGAGTGGAGTACATCGTGAAACCTATAAAGAATGAGGACATTACCCTGGAAAGCAAATGTCATTGCTGCTGAACCATGAAACACACTTTAACACAGACTATAACTTTTGTCGCTGTGAAGACATTTCAGACCAGTTTCAAAGCACGTGTTTCCTTCAGCTTTTCCAACTTAAAAATCAGCAAAATGCATTGAAAACAAGACTAGAAATCTTCTGACAATCTGAGTAATGCCTGTTACGTGTGCAATATTCCTGCACTTGAGCACTCTTACTTGTGATTTTCCTGAACTTAGTCTGATTCACCACATAATAAAGTGGAAAGTTATAATTATCACTACTGTGTACTTCCTGTTAGCATTCTTTCTAGGCTTTGTCCCACAGTTACCTGGCAAAAGCCAGGTATGCCTAACTCACTATAAAAGTGGCTGCTTGCCCTCTTCTCTCTTACCCACTCTGTCCCTTCTTTCCCTATTCCCCTCCCTCCTCTCTCTCCACATGTTCCTGGCTGCTGGTCTCTCTTCTCTCTCTCTTCTCTTCTCTTCTCTTCTCTTCTCTTCTCTTCTCTTCTCTTCCCTCTCCTCTCCTCTCCTCTCCTCTCCTCTCCTC